ATCTAGCGGCTAGCAGCGACGCTGGCGCGGTGAAAGCTCTAGTTTGGTTTTGGTAAATTAATGAAACCCTATGTGCTAACCCTTCTACTCTAGTGATCATGAGATATGGTAGCACATTCCAAGTGATGGAGCAAATGGGTGATGATCGAGATAGTGGTGATGGCCATGGTGATCAATTTGCTCGGGCTTGAAAAAGAAGAAAGAGAAAAATAAAAAGCTCAAGGCAAATGTGATTTCTATAGGAGCTTTTGTGTTTTGGTAATCGAGACACTTAGCGAGTGTGATCACATTTAGGATAGATAGCCATACTATTAAGAGGGGTGAAACTCGTATCGAAATACGGTTATCAAAGTGTCACTAGATGTTCTAACTCATTGCATATGCATTTAGATTCTAGTGAGCGCTAACACCCATGAAAATGTTTATGAAAATATGCTAACACACGTGCACAAGGTGATACACTTGGTGGTTAGCACATTTGAGCAAGGGTGGTGAAGTTTAGAGAAGAGAAAGAGGAGTTGCGCAGGGACCGAATGCTGGACCAGACCCAGGACTAGACTCAGCCCTGAGTCCGTTCAGTGTTGCACAGAGGAGGCGCTGTCTCGGTCTTTGACCGAACGCTGAGGCGATGAAGGATCGGACGCGACAATTGTGCACCTGGTCGCTGCTGATGTACGCTGACACAGGCGGTGTTGCGAAGACAGGAAGGACTGGACCCAGGGGTGTGTCCGGTCAAGCTCGATCAGACGTGTCCGATCGCGTTTTGCTGGCTCTGGAACCTCTCTGGAGTTGACCTGACACATGGTGGTGTAGCGTCCGGTGGAGGAGCAACGCGTCCGGTCAGTGTCTTGGGGGTGCGGGCGCGCGCGCAGGCTGGCGTAGCATCGACTCATCCGGTCGTCGTACCGGCGCGTCCGATCTTCACTTAAGCGCATGAGCGATCGAGTTGACCATTGAGATCGGGCGGCTCAGGTTCGAATGCAAGGACACGTGGCAGCCACCGTGCGATCGGACGCTGGTGAGCGTGCGTCCGGTCGCCTCATGGAGGCAGGCAGTGAGAGCCCAACGGCTCCATTTTGTGGGGGCTTCTATTTAAGCCCCATGGTCAGCCCTAGCTCACTCTCTTGGCCATTTTCATTGACATAGCAACCTAGTAAGCTAAGCCAAATCCCTCCCTCTCATCTCCATCATTGAGTCATCATCTTTGTGAGATTGGGAGTGAATCCAAGTGTATTGCTTGAGTGATTGCATCTAGAGGCACTTGGTGATTGTGTTTCGCTACGGATTTCACTTGTTTCTCTTGGTGGTTGCCGCCACCTAGACGGCTTGGTGCAACGAGGATCATCGAGCGGAGGAAGGTGACTGTCTCCGGCTCCGATCGTGATGATTGTGAGGGGTTCTTGACCTTTTCTCGGTGGAGAGCCAAAAGGTACTCTAGTGGATTGCTCGTGGCTTGTGTGATCCTAATCTTGTGTTGGTTGTGCGGCATCCGGTTGCGGGTTAGGCGTGTGATGCCTATTAGCTCGTGAACATCCAAGTGAGTGAATCGCCACAACGGGGACTAGCATGCCGGCGAGCAAGTGAACCTAGGTGAAAAATCATTGCGTCATCTTATCACCGGGATTTCATTGGTAATCTTGATTGATCACTTGCCATGGCGGTATATCTTCACTACCTACCTTGCATTTACTTTTCTTGTGTAGCTAAGCTCTTTAGTGTAGTTAGTTTTGAGAGCTAGGTTTCTTTCTTGTGTAGTGGTTAGTGAGGCTCTTTAGTTGGTCTTTGAGAGCTCACTAACTTAGTGATAGTGACCTAGCCTTTGTGTGCTTCGTGACTATAGTAATTAGAATTGTGGTAGGTGGTTTGCATTTTTAGTAGGCTAGCATAAGAATTGCTTCGCCTCATATTTGTCTAACCATTTTTGCTGAGTGTTGTTGTAGAAATTTTTATAGGCTATTCACCCTCCTCTAGCCATTAGGACCTTTCACGCGGCCGCCATCCCCGACGGGCTCCTGACTTTTGAGCATGTTGTGTCGCTTGGACGCGCTCACGTCGGTGTTGTCGGACTTGGACAAGCAGCGGTGGGCGCTTTTGCGTTGTCATGACGTGACGTGGCGACCGAATCCGCATCGAAAGCCTATTCGAGGGGCGATTCTGATGCGAATATGGCAACGTGAGACGTGGCCGCATCGCGAGTCCAAGACGCCTATTCCCAGCCCCGTCGTCTTTATAATAAGTGAGCAGCATACGCATTACGCATACTAGATTACTAGTTCACGATCACGACCCAATCCATCAATCGCTTCCATCTCTTTATTCGTCACTTAGCCGCGCAGCCCGTAGGTGGTAATCAATGTCGACGGCATATCATCCGCTAGCACCACCCTGGTTTTAAATAGCCCGCTATAGCTCCGTTATAGCTTCTCTATAGCTTTTCAGACTATCTACCGCTACGCTATTGCTAATTATTTAGCTACTTGCAGCTAATGACATTTTAGCTCCATTAAACGCCACTATTTGGTTTAACCGTGATATATTTTTAGCATCGTTAATCCTGACCAAGGTAGATATTAATTCTTTAGTCTAGACTAAAGGACTATAATCTATGCCTCTCTCTCTCTCCTTTATGTTCTTAACTCATTACACGATGCAATAAACCACTAAATAATTATTCAATTGTTGAATGTTGAGTGCTTATCACAATAGTATGTTGATCCATATGATAAATGTTAAGTAATTTGCTAGAACTGATGGTTCTGATTAGAAGAGAGGGAGGGAGGAGGGAGGGAGGTAAGAGCTCGGCGGTGGAGAGGGAACACACTAGGATTTGGAACAAGTGAAAATGAGCGAGTGGGAGGTGAGGCCCTTGTCCTCATGCCCTTGGGCACTTATATAGATAATGAGTATTTACAAGTGGCTCCTTTGTGGGGTTGGATTTCAAATGACACTACTCTAGCTACTAGTTGGACCTCCTCCAGGGGATTTCACATGGCCAGAGCTCGCCGCGGAAGCCAAAGATCGGGCAAGGGAAGAGGAGGCCGCTGCGGCCACGCTAGGGTTTCGTCGGAGCTGAGCGCGGCCGCAGCGAGGCAGTGGGCGGCGGCGGGGACGAGGAAGAAGATGAACAGTAAAGGAAGGGCAAAAAATCAAATGTGGAACACTCGAGTGCTGGCTAGATAGCTTCTTTTTTCCCTACTAGGTGGATTTAGTATTCTACTTTATAGCCCTAAATTTCATTCCTTGTTCAATATCACCCAAGGTTTAATTTCTTAGTTTCGTATATTTATAACACCTCATAACATCCTCGTAAAAAAACACAACTCATCATAACATTGTAAAATTGCCAAAGTTGTTTTTCTAGACAAAAATCTACACACCATTCCCATGTGCCAAGTATACAGATGTCGATAACTAAAGTTTAAGCAGATTAGCTGCACGCAACACCGTACATCACAAGAGAGAGAGCATAACATGAAACCGCTTTATCACCCGAAAACATCAAAACAACTACTTGCACATTAAACGTCACCTAAGCCTATATAAGTAATATAAGTAGTTTTGGCTGACGTGGCGCCACATCAGTCATGAAGTAGGTAAATTGGACTTTCACAGATAGTTCGATGGTTCAGGAAGGTTAATTAAACTTTGTAAAAAAAGTTATAGAAATATTTTCTTGCATGAATACACATTTAAAAAATACTTAAGTTTTATTTAATGTTAGAAAATATGTTTTATCTCAAAAAAAAATGTGAAACCACTTGCAAACTTTTTTCCTAAAATCATCATCTATGTTTTTTAGAGTTAGGAACTATCGGTGGTTGTGGCCGGCTGTGGGGGTGTGCGTCCGGAAATGATAGTCGTAACCTCCATGGCGGTCTCACAAGTCTTAGCGTCGTCCTCCGTTTGGGCTATGTAGCACTCCTGGAGGGGGTGGGGGTGAGGCCGTCTTCGATCTCATCTTCTCTGGTTAAGCTAGACATTGTTGCTAAGGAAACGACTTTGTAATTTGCACAGTGAGTTACATAGTGATTCACGATGCAGTCTACAAGGATTTGACTCTATTTGCATCCTCTATTTCACATTAGCCTAGTTTTGAATTTTAGGAGATCATATAAGATTTAAATAGTTCTATAAGCAAGTAATACTAAAAAGGTAGATCATGATTTTAGGAAAAACACAAAACTAGATTCGTATTTTTCTAAGTTATAACAAAATTTCAATGAATTTGCTAACATTAAATCGAATTTAGTATTTTTAAATATTAATTTATTCTAGGAAAAAATGTTTAGATTGAAAAAATATATTTTACAGCATTTTCTATAAAGTCTAATAAACCTTCCTCTATAATCGTGAAAGTCCGATTTATCTCCCTCGTGACTAGCGTGGCACCCGGACGACTGACGTGGCGCCACGTCAACCAAAACCGTTTTTTGTGCAGTTTATGGATCAGTGGCGCTAGGAGCTGCGCAGCAGGCCTCGCCGCTCGCTCTGGGCCGTCAGCTTCGAGGCTCGCTCTGGGCCGAGGCCACGATGAGCATGGGAGGGACGAGCTCGGCCGAGGTGGACAGGCAGAGGTGGGATGCGAACTGGGCCCAGTCGGAGGCGGATTGGCGGAAGCACGGGAGGAGCGCGCTGGGTTGGCCAAAGCCCAAGGCCCAAGGTGCACAGGCAGAGCCGCAGAGGTGTTTTTTTTTTTTTGACATGAAGCAGCGCAGGTGGGTTGGGATCGTGGTGTGGCGTGGCTGGAGCCGCCAAAAAAAAAAATTTGTGGGAGGAGATCGCGTATCGGATTCGGGAGGCCAAGCTCGCTAGAGTCGTCCGGGAGGGCAAGAGGATTGAGACTTGAGTCTTGAGAGAGTCGGTGTCGACGAGGTTCACTGACTCGGACTCGCCTCAAGGACACCCAGCCGGTCCTTATAATAAGCCATCACAAGAGCGCACGAACACAACCATATCACACCAATTCTGGTTCTCGATCGAGTATTGACTGACTCGACTCGATGGCATATCCGCTAGCACCGCCCAACAACGGGGCCGCCGTCCTCCCCACGGACGACGACGGCGGGCAGCTGCGGCCGCCTACCAAGCTACTCGGCTGCCTACGCACCGTCGGGCGGCCAACCAGCAAGACGAACCCGCTCCTCGTCGCGGCCTTCTACAGCGCCGCCGACATCTCCCGCGTCGACGTCAAGCTCGTGGACGTGGCGTCTGGCGCGACGGTCGCCCGGCTGGACCGCCAGGGCAACGGCCACTTCGGCGCGACCGGCGGCCTCCTCTGCCTCGTCGGCACCGGCGGCACGGCGGCCGTCAGCGTGCTCGACCCGGCCACCGGCGACGTCACCAGCATCCCGGCGTACGCGGACGGCAACAAGACCTCGTCGGCGTACGTGTTCGGCCACGTCCCCGCGACGGGGGAACACAAGGTCCTCCGGGTCTACACCGCCGGCCACGGCGAGACCAAGCAGTCATGCGAGATCCTCACCCTGGGCGGCGGCGGCGGCGGCAAGCAGCGCTGGAGGACGGCGCCGAGCCCTCCGGTGCGCGTCGGCACGGCGCCCTCCCGGCACTGGGCGGTCACCCGAGGAGGAGTCGCCCACTTCTTGATCCCTCAGAGGGCCGAGTACGACGTCATCGCCTCGTTCGACATGGCGACGGAGGAGTGGCGGCCGGCGCTCCTCCAGTGCCCGCTCTCCTCCGACAAGCGCAACTGCTGCAGCGACAGCCTGAGCCTGGTGGAGCTCAACGGATGCCTGGTGTTTGTGCACCATGACTACCTGTCCTTCTCCTTGGACATGTGGGTGCTCACGGACCTGGACAGGGGGACATGGCTGAGGGTGGAGTCTCTTCCTCTAGGGAAGGTTCTCCGTGGCGGAGAAACCATGGCGAAGCCACTGATGGTGCTGGATGATGGACGCATTGCGTTCTGGGTGCGAGGACCGAACAGCGTGGTGCGAGTGTATAATCCACGGACTGGCGGTTGTGAGGAGGTGGTGAATTTCGGAAAGTTGTGTAGCGTTGTTGGGTTGTACAGGGGAAGCCTCTTGGGGGTCAAGTAGGTCGAAGAGAGCGTATCTGTTACCATTTGATTTGGTTTTAAGATTTGGATTTGTTCATGTTTACGCGGTCTTGCGTTTTATTTCCCTATCATATCATAGTTCTAAAAATGTTGGTTATGTAAAACGATCGATCCATGGTTTTATTATTGTTGCCATCAAAAGATTCAGATTTGTTAACTAGTAAGATTGAAAGTTCTAGTATTCAGATTTGTTATACTAGTAAGATTGAAAGTTCTTTACATCATCATTTTATTAGAGTAATAACTCTACTACTACGCCCATCACCGTTAGTTTGACAAGTTAACAACAACTTAGCATTCATTCAATGATCGTAAATTCCACATTCGTCGCACCTCATTTCTGGCTCTGACCACTATCTAATAATCAGTTTAGTCAAAATGATGACTAAAACACTGCTCTAACCAAATGGTTTCTTTGACATCTGTGTGCATATAGCATTGGAGAATATGTATCAGTACATAGAAGAGGCAAAGGTTATACATAGGGATTTCAATTTCCGGATTCGATAGTTTGACTGCACAAACTCATGTTTCTTGTTACACCCCTAAATTTCATTCCATGTTCAATATCACCCGAACTTTCATCTCTTGTTTCGTATTGTTTCTCTAGACAAATGTATACACCATGCCCATGTGCCAAGTATACAGATGTCGATAACTAAAGTTTAAGCAGATTACCTGCACGCATCATCCTACAACATCACAGGACAGCATAGCTTGAAACCACTTTATCACGCAAAAGCATCAAACCAACTACTTGCACATTAAACGTCACCTAAGCCTAAAAGTAATATAAGAGTTCTACAAGACTACAACAGCCTGAAAGCCACAAATTATTGCCAAGTTCCTTGGGCCAGACTAAGCCTAGTGTATATAGCATAGGCGCAAGGAACTATCCTTCAAGGTGCCGATAATGTGCGTGTTCCATCTGATACAGGATCGTGCGACATGGAGATCAGGCTCTATCTTAGGGTACGTTCATCACCTGGATGGACTGCAGCATGTCTGAGAGGGCGATCACGAGGTCGCCAGACTGGATCATGCCCCTGGCCTTGAGCAGGGAGAAGGTGCGGTTCAGATTGCTCTCCATGTCGTCGGAGAAGCTGAGGCGGAAGGGGATCAGGCCCCACTGGAGGTTCAGCCGTCTCCTGACAGACGTCGAGGTTGTGAAGGCGAAAACCGGGCAGTCGGGACGGCACCGCGAGAGCAGGGAGGCCATGTGGCCAGTCTTCGTGAAAACAAAAACAGCATCTACTCCCAAGCCATTAGCTGCAAATGAAATCAGTTTTGATTAGATATATGTAAGAGCAATGGCAAGGAAAAGTTCTGTCAGTAAACACAATAATAGGAATATGCAACAACAGGAAGATGGCAGCAGATACCCATTTTAGCTGCTGAGTTGCAGATCTCTTCTGATATCTTGTCAGAGAAGGAAGATGAAACACTTTGAAGTTCCAGGGCCTCATGACGCTTCTCCTCTCTCCACCACTTCTCAATCCTTAGGCTGACGCTCCTTAGAACACTAAGAGCCTTATCCGGATACCTCCCCATCGCTGACTCGCCAGAAAGCATTAGAGCATCAGCTCGCTGGCGGACAGCTTCAGAAACATCTGCAACTTCAGCCCTGGTGGGTGTGGGATACTCTATCATCGATTCGAGAAGCTGAGAAGCAACAATGACTGGCTTGTTGAGCTGCCTGCACAGTTGAACTATCTTTTGTTGTATTGAGGGGACCTGCTCCAAGGGAACCTGTGCCCCCATATCCCCTCTGGCTACCATGGCACCATCTGATGCTCGGATGATCTCCTCCAGGTTCTTTAAAGAGTCAATGCTCTCAATTTTTGCAATGACTGCTAAATCACTGATCATATACAACAAAGCATTAGAGTAAGCAAGCAACAAATATTGATGAAATGAAAGAAACATGTCAGAAATACAAAATTACAGCATTTCTAGTAAGAAAAAAGCATATGCAGTGCATTTATCTGGATGTTTGCAAGGCCTAATTAATTAAAGCGTAAAGAAAACACAGTAAGTTTGATATTTTCGGGGAGTTGGGGCCTTTAAAGGTTTTAAGCTAGGTAACTTTGTGCAGTGTCACTAACTAACCACAGAACATGAGATGGATGTACAATGGCAAACTGACTGTAGCACATCAAATAAAAACAGGGGCACATACTGACAGTTTTTTAATGCATGCAGAAGAATTATAGGGGCTGACATGACACCAAGTTATGGTTGAGGTTGGTCATGCAATTTTAAACAGTTCTAATTCTTCTGTGAATCACATTGTTGAACAAAATTATTTGAATACATCCCATCAAATGGCTACTAATATGAATAATCATCCAGGACTGACCAGTGACCAGGAAGCAACCAGCAACAATGGCTAAACATCCAAAACAGTTCTAGGAACACCCATCATCAGTTTAACAATGCTGAATAAAGTCTTCCGAATAAGCAAAAACTTAAATTAATATAAAATTATACGCTTGGTACCTGCCACGGCCCCTTGCAGCTATGTAGCTTTTCAAGTGTTTAATTACTTCTGCAGACTTGACAAATGAAACAGCGATGAAATCTACACCTTCGGCAATTCCAAAGTCTATGTCAAGCCAATCCTGCACAAGTTGTCACAAGAAAAGGAGCAGCATTGTTATATATTAATATCTACTACTAGAAGATTCCATTTCTCAACTAAATAACTCTAGTTGGTAGCAGCCTTCTTTAGAAATAGCTGATAAATTGTCCAGAGATGAGTTTCAGTGCGCAATGTTTTGAGCTGATCATGGTATCGATCGAAAAAGAAGCTGCAAATCCATTGTAACATGAGCAATGGTATAGAATTATAGGGTTTTGCTTTACAGCCTTTTGGTAATTACAGCAAGACATTTATTATGTTAGTGGATTTACCTTTGATGAAATTGTAGGAAGCATAGCATTCCTCTCACGGACGATACTGCCATCACGCCAGAATGTAAGATTGGCACGTGGCAACAATAAACCAGGATCTGTGCAACGGCACTTAACATCTGGCCCTATCTTCTCAATCACCTCAAACCGAGCCATTCCACCATCCACAAGAAGCTCATCACCAACTCTCACATCTGTGTAGGATTTAGATGCAACGTTACACTAAAGAACAGAACTACAAACAATATCAACAAATAGGCTAGCTTAAATACCTTCAGCAAATCCATCATAGTTCACATTAATAGTTCGTTCTGGGAGAGGCAATTCAAATGATCTAACGCTAAACGTCCATACTTCTCCATCCTGTGGAATCAAATAAATGTGACAGGATTTGTTAATTACTTCAGGAACATTTTGATACTATAAGAAAATGGAAATCATTCGGCAAATAATGTGACTGAAGAAAACAAGGAATTTTGCAAAGGCACACAGTCAGCTTCTAACTGTATGGTTAATAACTTAAAATAAACAGCTGCAGGGTAAGATAATCTCTTTTTTGGGGGGTAGTGACCTGAGCACTGATATCAGCTGGCAATTATAGAAGCAGTTTTGTTTCTTTCTATTATATGATAGAATGTATTATGTAAAACATAACTATTACCAGATGCAACCATTCAGTAACATTTCTATGTGGACATCAACATTAGCTACTTTCAAGAATCTTACCTGAGGGTCGAGGCTTAGGCCTATGATCTAGAAAACTACTTTCAGAAGCTCAGTGCCTGTCACTTTTATTAGAGTCTTGGCACCCAGCTGACATGCAAAGAAAGCGAATACGTGGTGATTTTTACCATGCATTTTGTTTCAGTTACTTTTGGAAGCCCTGAAATATTCTGCCAGTTTCAGTATCGAATGTTTCATAACAAATGTGCATTGTTTTCCCTTCTATAATGGTTTCAAGCCTGAGCCGAAAATGTAGATCAACTGAGCCATTTGATTGAAGAGAGAACTCCGGTGAAATTGGGTTTGCCAGGTTTGGTACAAGCATGAATGAATTACTGCAATGCAGAAATTGACCGACGGGCGAACACCCTCCCTCCCTTCTCCATCATCCACATTGGGGAGCACAATTTACTTCCATGGAATACGTTCAAGGCTAAAAAAGTGAGGCGTTCACTCTGAAAGGTAAAAACTGCACCGCCAAGCCCAAACAAACCGATGATGAGCAGCTCACCTCCGCCTTGACGGAGGACGCGCCGCCGAGGTCGCCCATGTGGATCTCGCTGCCCTCGGTGTCCATCATGACGGCGACGGCGAAGCCCTTGTCCTCGTTGAGCCTCCTGACGGCGCGGATGGCGGCCCGGTGCCACTCCCGGTCCCCGTGGCACATGTTGAGGCGGGCCACGTTCATGCCGCCGACGGCGAGCGCCTCGAGCTGGTCCGGCGACGAGGTGGCGGGGCCCACGGTGCAGACGAGCTTGGTGCGGCGCGTGCTCCGGAACCCGTTCTCCCGCAGCTCCGCCTCCGTGGCGGCGTCCACGTCGATGGGCGAGTCGGACGCGAAGATCCCGTTCGGGTTCGGGGGAGGGAACACGGTGAGGTCGGAGGCGGCGGTCGAGGAGGTGGAGCGGAGGCGGTGATGAGGGCGCCAAGCGCGGAGGCGGAGGCGGAGGAGGAAGGGAGGAGTGGGCGCCGGAGGGGAGAGGGCCGAGCGGGTGGCGGTGGCCGCCCTGCGGGCCGCCGGTGCGTGCAGGAGGGAGTGGGCGGCGGCGGCATGGCGGCATGGCGGCGGCGGGGAATGGGAGCGGCGGACTGGAGTGGAGTGGAAGGGAGATGCGGTGCGGTGGCGTGGCGTCAGCGTGTGAGAACTTTTTGGTTTTGATGGCGCGGTGGCGGAGATTGCGAGGCGGGCTCGCAGTTCGCCGTGGGACTCCACGGTGAGAGGGTGACGTGGCGGGGTGTGTTCTGTTCTGTCCTATGTGGGCAGCACGTGACAGCGTATCGTGGTCACTTGTCCTATGAAACGCAAATGGCTAGACAGCGATACAGGCCCGGCTCGCTAAAACTGGGCAGAAACGACGAAAAACACTGTTCTATTTGAATTATGGTTGTGAAAGAAAATATTAGTTTTGGTTGAAAAAAAAGTCGAACAAACCGATTTTAAGGTAAACCGAACATAGCCACAGTTGTACTTGTAGTTGTTCCCCATGAATCAAATTTTGTTGGTATATACAGGAGAAGTGCCAAATTCGTGACAGAGTTTGGTTTGGCTACATCTCTGTTCATTTCGCTGAAATTTGGCTTACACTGATAATTATGTTGATTCGTTGTGAGAAAAAAACGCTGAAAAGGACTGCTGAAGCAGTGCTGAATAACAGGACGAAAATTTGGAAGCGCCCATGAACGTTCTTTTTTATAGTGAAAGAAAACTTTCGGCTTGAACCTCCAAGGGGCATTGCAGAATAGTGCACACCAAATAGTAGATAAAACTACATAAAAGTCCCATAGCAACTCAAATTTAAGACATTATTTACAATTTTGCAATGAATATTATCGTCAACCTCGAAATCTGACAACTTAGTCATTCCAAGGTGCTCCTACGGATTGGATGTTTGTGAGCCTTCGTAAAAGCGAGCATACATGCATGTATAATTATCTATTTTTTTATCAATGCATGTATAATTATCTATGTTTACTGTTTATCACTCCATTTAACTAAACATTTGCAATCCTTGCAACCAAATGTCATTCTAGTATTCAACTAATTTTCTACCCGATAATGCTCTCTTAGTAGACCTGTACGTAAAGCATTAGCAACAGCAAACAATGTTATATAAAGATGGATGCTAGTATTTGATTAAGTGGTTCCTAGTCCAGCTATCTTCTCAAATCCTATTTTGGTTGCCATTATTTTAATTGGTGATTTTCAAGGCTGTTTCTTGACATGCTTGATTAGTCGCTTGGCAGGCAGCTCAACCAAACATGTCTTAGGTTTGTGATCTGTCTGCTATTGAAAAGTCTCCTGGATTCTTTTGCGCTTGACTTAAAAATTTGATTTTTGATATACTTATTTTTCATCAACTCTTGCCAAACCCTCTTTGTTTATTAGCTAGAATGCCTAAATTCCCCCTTTTGATTATTTTTCCAGTTAAGTTCCGTTCTAAAATACACAGGTTTTTAAGATACATCTAATAAGGGGTTAAAAAATAAAGCATAATATAGGCAGGATAGATAGAACCCAATTAATCAAGCCTAGTCTCCACCACCAACATATTACTGTTTTTCTTTCCATCCAAGTAAACTCTTTTCAAATCTATCTTCAATCACTCTCCAATCTTTTTTATCGAGATATCTAGAGTGCATCCGAATGCATATGTAACGTAAGGCAACAAAACAATAATGAATATTGATATTCACAATCCTTTGCTTGTCCAAAACACAAAAGTTCACTTTCGTTAAAGTTAGTTTTGAGACTTCATCGTTTCTTCAAGACATAGCAGTATCTTCATGTCTTTTGCTTGCTCAAATATAACCAAGTCATTTGTGTATTGCAAAATAGACAAGCCCCCTTCTTGTAGGTGTGGAACTCAGACTCCATGTGTTTTTGCTTTTAATGGTGTATGGAATCTGTGAACCGAAGTTTTGCCCTACCAAACTTGGACCAACCGGATTGGAGGCAGAGACAGGCAGATAGCAGGGAGCAGATCAGCTGCACGTCTGCACTTCTGTAGTTTAGGGGGTGTTGGTTACATGGACTAAAGTATTTTGGACTAAAATCTACACTTATAGTTGGACTAAACAGTAAAACACTTGGACTAAAAGTGGATTAAAGTCCTTTAGTCCACAAAATTGGACTAAAATGAACTTAAAGGTGTTGGGGACACCCATGCCCCTCATTTATTGTCCTCTATCTCTCCCAGGATAAAAGAGTGGGTAAAAAGAGTGGGTATTTAATGAATCTTTAATTCAAGGAACCACATCACTTTTAGTTCATGGACTAAGGCCCATTTGGTTTCCATAAGTATTTTTGAAAGTTGACTTTAAGTCATGCATGTTTGGTTGTAGATGACTTATAAGTTCATTACCACTTTTAGTCTAAAGGGTGACTTATAAGTTTTAGTTCAACTTAAAACTTATAAGCGAGGGGTGACTTAAATGGTTTGGCAAAAATTTTTTTTCACTTTTAACTCATGTAGGTAACTTAGAGAACCGAACAAGCCCTTAGTCCATGGACTAGAGAACCGAACAGCCCTTAGCCAAGCCAGACAGAAATATATTGCATATTTGCATTATAGTGCATGTGTGAAGTGGCAGAAGTTAACCAGATAGAGTAAATAACAGAATTCAAGCATACTCCCTATGTTTTAAATTATTTATCGCTTTTGGTTTCCGTGCCGTAAGTTTGACTCAATTTGTTGAAAAATACGTGCAACATTTATATCTCTAAATAAATTTATTAAAAAACTAGATTCAAATATCTTTCTAATGATACCAATTATATACCATAAATATTAATATTTTTTAATATATATTTTGTCAAATTTGTTTCTCGGGAAAAGCGAAAACGACAGATATTTTTGGACGGAGGGAGCAAGTGCATAACAGCTTAGTCTCACAAAGTCAAACGACACAAGTTCATACATCACATTTGATATAAGTTCAGACTTAACTGAGGACCACAGAAACATAAGTTCAGACTTCAGTAAGCAGTATCCACTATCCAGTAGCAGGACCAGCCCAACAGCAGGGACAGAACAACAGAAGCCTGATAGAAACTAGTAGTAGTTCAGGACTTGATTGAAACAGCCAGCAGCAAGCAAACTAGCAAATAGAAACAACAGTCAACAGATATGGCTTAGCACCTGGAACAAGCCCAATGTTTATGAAGTGGTGGTGATAAATAAAGTATATATAAAGGTCAAAAGGGGTGCATGTTTTACTGTACAAAGTTAGCTATAGATAGCTCATCACTTCACATCATAAAGAGCTGAAATGGGCTGTGGCTTGTGAAACTAAGAGTATGTATTCCCTCTGGTTCATGTTAGTAAAAAAATATACTTTTGTGCATCAATATATTAGAATGACTGTTGACATAAAATTGATGTTACCATCTGTATCATGAAATTCTTTCACAGGTGTCTTGTTATCAGAAATAACGTATTTTAATAGAAATGCACAGTTAGTGTATCAAACCTTAGAGAGACCACGTCAATGTTATAATCAAAAAATATTTTCGAAAAGGAGTAAGAGCACCACAAGATTATTTTAGACTAGTAGTAACAGACAAGGAGTAAGCACAAGATCGTTACTGCAGCTGGCACAAGCTGCATCCGAAGTCTAGTTTTGCTTCTTGATGAGCATGCCCTGATGCTGATGTTGTTATTTGCTAAAACATATTAGTTGTGATATACTAGGAAAGAATCCCCAAGTATTTCTAATGATTCCTGCAAAAATCCTTCTTACCATTTCTTTGCTGTTAAGTGCTTCCAGAATCCAGAATCTGCAAACAAGTGGTAAATATAAACGCTTTTGTGAAGACAAAGTGCAGATGGAGGATATATTCATGCTGTTGACAACAAATGATGAGCTGCTCCCACATTCCAATCATTAATGAAAATAAACAAAGGGAATATGGAACAAGGCCTTGTTTAGATTGGGGTTAAGAATCAATATTTGGCATTGTAGCACTTTCGTTTGTATTTGACAATTATTGTCCAATCATGGCCTAACTAGGCTCAAAAGATTCGTCTTGTAATTTACAATCAAACTATGTAATTAGTTATTTTTTTTATCTACATTTAATACTCCATGCATGTGTCCAAAGATTTGATGTGATGGAGAGAGAGTGAAAAAACTTGCAATCTAAACAAGGCCCAACTTGTATATCTTGCATGTTGAATTGTTGATTGGTTTTATGATATCAATATATTACTAATTCCTTAATACATTACTAATTTCTGTTTACAGATTCAGCAGCAAATAGACTAATGGTACCACTCATCCAAGAAACACAGGGGGGTAAAACATGATGACAAGAACTAATAGTATAGTCATATTTGAGCAAAAAAGATGTGACGAACAAGTGAACAGAACCTCTATAAGCTTTATGCCCACAATCTACTACAGTTTATGGGAAACCAAGAGGTATGTTCCCATGTGCAAAGTGCAACAAGCTGATTTTGCAGCTAGATAAATTTAAGTTGTTACTGTACATAAACACAAATTTGAACCAGTAATCTGCTAAGTCAAACTGGTGCATTATTGAAGCCTATTAGATTTTCAACTTCATAGAAAGAAGCAGCACTGGATCTGAGACATTATGTCATTATTATATAAGGAATAAATAAGAAGCTGAGAAAAGTATTTATGCAGAGTTCAGGTGGCAATTCAACGAATTTCAGTTCTGAAAAA